GGGAACCAACTGATAATACTAGAAGAGCAATCCCAGGCCTTGTGGATTTCGTCCTGCGAAGTCTTCACCATCGTCACATTGTGACGGACGGATGCCAGCAATAAATGACATTGACTGGGGGGGGGGACATTAACTAGATTGGCTATGTCTATATAATTATTGACTGATTTCATTTAATGAAATGCTAGTCGTGTGCTTAGCTTAACTTCCAGTGAAACTCACTTGATTTATGAGAGACCTTTCTGTAACACATGCTTGGCACTCAAGTGCTTTCTCCCGAAATCTCGACGCAGAGATTTAAGGGTCTAAAAACCTTAGACACGGTCAAGAATCGAAAGGCTCCTACGCTGTTTCCATAAATTTTCTTGTTGCTATAAATAAATTTGGCTGAATCAGACACAGGGTCTTAATTGAAAATCTTAACATTCCGAGTGTAGTAGTCGAGTCTTATCTTCCTCGTCCTAGAAGAAAGATGCCATTTGTTCGAACCTTTTTCCTTTGATGAAACCATTATGACTTCACGAATCTGGTCCGCTCCTGTAAGATGTAAGCGTAGGTCAACATTGTATTTTAGTGTAAACCAGCGGTTCTCAACCTTCCTTATGCCGCGACCCTTTAATACAATTCCTCATGTTATGGCACCCCACCCCCCAACTCCAACCACAAAATTATTTAGTTGCTTCTTCATAACTGTAGAGTATGTGTGTTTTCCGTTAATCTTAGGCGAACCCTGGGAAAGCTTCGTTCGACCCGCAAAGGGGGTCGCGCCCCGTAGGTTAAGAACCGCTGGTGTAAACCATCAGAATCTTATCAAACTGTAGGTCAACATGGCATTTCCTTGTAAACCATCAGATAGCGTAACAAGCTGTGGGTCAACATGACATTGCCGTACACAATTTAAAAAAAAAATCCTATCATGCCATAGGTCATCATGGCCACAGCCAACCATAACATAAGTTTTTGCAATATTAGATGTAGAGTGTATATTATGAAGATGACTGCGTTATTTTTAAAGGTAACTACTGACAAAGTGAACACCTTGAGCGTTAGTAGCCAATGTTTACAGATTAGGATATTCACATATTATCAAGTTCGAAGTTAATTGAGATAAAAATAAAATAATTATAATATAATAAGGATAATATAAGTAACTGCAATAAGTCATAAATCAAAATGAATCATAATAGAAATAACTAGAAAACACACAGCTTATTGTTATAAGCAAAGGGGATGTGTGTGTGAGTGATATTTAAAGTCAGAGAGAGAGAGAGAGAGGGGGAAATGGGGAGAGCGAGATAGAAGAAGATATATAGATATATATAGAGAGACAGAAGGTAGAGAGAGAGAGAGGGAGCGAGGGAGGGAAAGAGTGAGATAGATAGAAAGAGAGAGAAAAAAAGAGAGGAAAAGAGAAAGATGATAAATATATATATATATAGAAAGACATAGATAGATAGATAGATAGATAGATAGATAGATAGATAGATAGATAGATAGATAGATAGATAGATAGATAGATAGATAGATGGATAGACGGGGGAAAAGAAAGATAGAGTGAGAGGGGGAAGAGGAGGGAAGAGAGAGATGGAACTGTTTCACTCTAGTCCGAAATCACACCCAAAAAAAAAACAAATCCCGATATGTTTTCTATAATAAAAGTCTTTAATAGCTAGTGATTGAATGACGTGTTTGATGTGTATGTGTGTGCCTCTACATCTGTGTGTGTATGCTTGTGTGTGTATGTGTGTGCCTCTATATCTGTGTGTGCATGCTTGTGTGTGTATGTGTGTGCCTCTATATCTGTGTGTGCATGCTTGTGTGTGTATGTGCGTGCCTTTACATCTGTGTGTGCATGCGTGTGTGTATATGTGCGTGCCTCTAAATCTGTGTGTGCATGTGTGTGTGTTTGTTTTTGTGCATGGGTGTGTGTGTGCGTGTTTTTATGTGTATGTAAGTATGTATGTGTGTTTGCTCGCGCTAGATCAGGGCGCCGATGCTGGGAAAGCTATGAATAATAAACTGAAGCTGTGACGCATGCGTGGTTAGCCTCCCAGTAACTTTGCTCGCATGAAATATTCCAGGTTTATATCTGAGCGTTGAGGCCGATTTTATGATAATGGGAAAATCTGCAGAAAGATGAGTAGCTAGTTAAATATATTGACCACGTTACACGGTGTTACATTCCTGTTCATTTGTGAGTTTCATATAGTAAATGAAGAGGCACTCAGAGGTCGAGGGGTCAGAGGTAGCAAGAGGGATCGTTTGAATATTGCTGCGTTATCAAACATTAAATATACGCCAGGTGTAGTTTTCTGTACATGTGCAGTTTTTTTGTATATGTGCAGTTTTTTGTACACGTGCAGCTTTCACATGTGCAGCTTTTTGTACACGTGCAATAAATTGTTTGTACATGTTCAGTGTTTTTGTACATGTGCAGTTTTTTGTACATGTGCAGTTTTCACAAATTCATCTTGAAATAAAGTTGATTGTAATTGTTTACCCCGTCCGCTGGGCAAAGCTGACCGGAACTAAGATGATGAGAGGACGGTCAGCTTTTGACTTCAAATGTAAATTATAAATACCTGTATACAACGAGGTTATAAATGCCTCTATACAACGAGGTTATAAATACCTGTAAACAACGAGGTTATAAATACCTGTATAAAACGAGGTTTTAAATACCTGTATACAACGAGGTTATAAATACCTGTATACAACGAGGTTATACATACCTGTATAAAACGAGGTTTTAAATACCTGTATACAACGAGGTTATACATACCTATATACAACGAGGTTATAAATACCTGTATACAACGAGGTTATACATACCTGTATACAACGAGGTTATAAATACCTGTATACAACGAGGTTATAAATACCTGTATACAACGAGGTTATAAATACTTGTATACAACGAGGTTATACATACCTGTATACAACGAGGTTATAAATAAATATTTTATTACTTCCGAGGCACCTCGCTGCAGGCATTTGTGCTTAGGTTTTTCAGCTTTTTGTGATAGTTTTCAGTTTTCCAAAATGTTTTTTTTTTTTTTTTTTTTTTTCAATCAATGCGTGATAAATGTGAAATATGTTTCTTCGGACAGATAATCTTGTGTTTTTTCGTTATTAACAGCCGTTAAATTGGATTTTTTTTTTGTTTTTGGTTTTTTTTTTTTTTTTTTTTGTTTTTCTGTTTTTAAAATGTTTTTTTTTTTTTTTTTTTTTGTTTGCAATCAATGCGTGATAAATGTGAAATATGTTCCTTCGGACAGATAATCTTGTGTTTTATCGTGATTAACAGCCGTTAAATTGGATTTTTGCAAGTCGTAGGCTATCATGACCACACAATTATACAATCAAGAACACTACAGCTATTTTGACCACACAATGATACACACAAGAACCTAACAGCTATTCTGACCACACAATGATTTACTCAAGAACATAACAGCTATTCTGACCACTCAATGATACAATCAAGAACATAACAGCTATTCTGACCACACAATGATACAATCAAGAACATTGCAGCTATTCTGACCACACAATGATTTACTCAAAAACATTACAGCTATCATGACCACACAATGATACACACAAGAACCTAACAGCTATTCTGACCACACAATGATTTACTCAAGAACATAACAGCTATTCTGACCACTCAATGATACAATCAAGAACATTACAGCTATCATGACCACACAATGATACAATCAAGAACATTACAGCTATTCTGACCACACAATGATACACCCAAGAACCTAACAGCTATTCTGACCACACAATGATTTACTCAAGAACATTACAGCTATTCTGACCACACAATGATACACCCAAGAACCTCACAGCTATTCTGACCACACGATGATTCACCACACACTTTGCTGCTGACCAATTTTGGGGAACAGCAAAATCTCGAGGACTTTTCCCAAACAATGTGTGCAATGCCATCATACGAAATTTCCATTTATTTGGATCAATAAAAGCATCTTATCCTGTTTTATTTTATATTATCTTATACAACGATTGATAACGGAATCATAAACTGAACAGAAAATATATCTCTTTCAAAATGGTTCAGAATATAACGTGTTTACAATGCTTTGGAACGTGCCTTTCTTCAGTATCTAAAACTTTTCTTTCAATATTTTAATTAAAATGCTATAAACAAACAAAGAAACCAATACCAACAAAACTATTCTTTTTCCTCAAATTTATTCATAATGTACATGAAAAGTTTGGAATGTGTGCAGTAAGATAGGAGACACACGTGATACAGGCGTACATGCAGCATGACTTTGAAACATTTCGTCTATTTGAATTGAATTCTTCTCGTTCACTTAAGTAAAAAAAAAAAAAAAAATTGAAGTATACGTGAGTCGTAAAAGTTGACTTACCACATTCTTAAATTAAGTTTCTGCCATTTATTTACTCAAATAATCATGTTCAGAACAGTGAGATCTTCTAAAAGATGTGGTGAGTGAATACTTTCAACAACAACAGAACGAGCCCTGATTTCTACGGGGCAGAATGTTTTTTTTTCAACAGGAAGTCTCGTCCTATATATATATATATATAATATGTGTTATCGTCTTCTGTAGGAGAGCAAGTGCCCACTAAGGCTAGACATAGTTTTCAGTGTCTTGAAAGTAGACATATTTTACATATTCTCTAGAAAGTATAGACATATTTTACATATTCTCTTGCAAGTATAGACGTAAATTGCATTTTCTCTAGAAAGTATAGACATATTTTACATGTTCTCTTGGAAATGGACACAATTTTCATAGTTTTGAAAATTAACATATATGCCATTTAAGTTGTGACGTTGGACTTACTTTTCTATCATATTTTAGGCATTAGCCATTGTTCTTCTACGCTATACACTCGCTACTGACCGTTGATTTGAGACTCACCGGCCACTGCCCTTTGACGGCAGACACAGTCGGTCGTAACAGAACGTCCACAACGAAAATCTGGCTCAGTATTTTTCTGTAGTTGTTACCAGAGGGAAGAGCGTCACTGGATTCTACTTGACTTATCTTGACCAACAAGTCGTTGGCGTTGCCGGGCGGGCTGGTGATGGTGGCCAGGAAGTAGAGGACACATCCGATACTCCACACGTCTGCCGGTTTGGCTGAGTACGGCTGCAGGGCCTTGACTTCCGGTGCCAGGTATGCGTCCTGGCCCAGATAATCCGAACACAAGATGACGTTGCCGTTGACGACATCAGAACAACGGAAGCACAACCCGAAGTCCGCGAGTTTGACCAGAGTTTCACTGAAGACGAGCACATTACTCGGGTTGATGTCCCTGTGAGCAATCTCTAAACCGTGGCAATACTCCACGGCGGACAGGAGCTGTCGGAATGACGTCTGTATGAAAGTAGTCCCGATTTTTTCTCTGGCTCGCGCTGCCAGAATTTCAAGGCTCCCCATGGGCGCCAGCTCCATCACGAGGCAGGCGAGTTTCGGACACATCATGACCTCGCTCAGATGGACGATGTTGTCGTGGTCAAGCGCCATCAGGGCTCGGACCTCGGACTGGAAGTTCTCGTCCTGGGCGATGTCCTTCCTGGCCAGCAGACGTTTGATGGCCCACCGCATTCCGGTCGATGATTTGGTCACGGCGTAGACATCGCCAAAACTGCCCCGCCCCACACATATGTGGAGGACGTAGCCGTTATTCTCAAGGAAAGCTGACCAGCCCTTTGGATTTCTCACAAGTTCCATAATCAAATGAAGTCTAATCGGGGGAATAACTCTTCACAATTTCTATAACCTAACCAAAATCTATCGACAAATCTTAACTCGTGTTAAGGTTCGTGTGGTTATAATTATTTTAAAAATAAAACACGTCCAGGTCGTTATGTTATTTTTCAGACGTTACACCAGTGGGTTGCACACCGCACGTCAATGTACGGCCTTACAGGTGGTAGTTGATTACTTTTAAACGCGCAGAAATAAGGAACTTTTTTTTTGTGCTGAAAACTGCACCGTTTGCAGAGCGTCCAGTTTTTTTCTATGGTCTTCCAGCAATTAACGCGAGTCTATTCTGCCCTCCATCTGAACGGCTGCAGGCGTGGGGGGGGGGGGTGGAGGATTGAGGTAAGTCAGGTGATGTAAGGATTATTAAAGAATCGATTACACGGCGTGTTCATTGCAATGACTTCCGTACATGCAATGTTTTCAGGTCTGCGCTGAGTTTACTTTGATCCATCGGACATTGCGTACACACTTTAAAGCATTCAGATTGATGCACATTGAGATGACTCTTTGCGAAGTATAATCTTGACAGACACGGGATTATATATGAGGGGCAGCGATCTAGACGTGTGAAGTCAATAAGTAGTGGAACAAGATATGGCTGGGTTTGAAGATAAATAACTACAGATGATTGCCGTGTAGTGGTGGTGTATTCGTCGCCTTCATTTCTTACGTAGACACTGCACAGTCATCGCAGTGACGGCGATTTATGACTTCAGGTCACTGGCGTAGAAGTTTAAGAAGGTAAAAGTACAAATTTATCCGCCCGGGGCCTGCTTGCAATTTGCGAACATCCGTCACAGATTGCCCTCAACAGTTTTTTCCGAACTGATTCAGAGAAAAACACAAACAAATCAGATCTTCGAGAGTTCAAAAATTTTCTCCGATAGCAGCTCTTCCAATTTACTGGACTGAGGCAGCTCCACGCCTGCTCCTTGCCACCTCTATCAGGCGTGTAGACTGCAGCCAACACTTTGACAGAGATATGGAATCAGCTTGACATTAAGAGCCCCCCTTGCAGGCAGGTGTCGGTGGTGGGTAGATAATTTTTTTTCAGCATCAGGGGTGTCTAGTGAAGGGAAAGAGAACATAGAGACAATGAGTTTGATAACAGTGGATGCAGTACAGGTGGCGAGTGTTACCCGAGTAATGCAGACTTTAAGTTAGGAGGGGGGGGGGGAGGAATTTGTGGAGGTAAACTTGAAAATAACATGGAAGGAAAACACAATTTTTTCCCCCCTTCAGTGAGCAAGCAGCTACAAATTGTAATGTGCACAGCCTCAGAGAAATTAGGCGAAGCTACAGCACATGAAAATCCAATATTTAATACATTACCATCTCAGGCATACAACAAAAAAAAAAACCCAAACATCCCAAGTTTACGTAAACCAATTTTTTATGGTTTTCATGTGGTTCACAGCTGGCAGGGATCATATTTAATGCTGAGTTATTGATTATTTTGAGAGAAGAGCAAATTAAATCAAGAGCAAGAATATTTTTTGTAGATAAATTAGCTGGAGCCATCTGTTTGTGTGGAGCCATCTATTTGTGTGGAGCCATCTATTTGTGTGGAGCCATCTGTTTTTGTGGGGCCATCTATTTGTGTGGGGCCATCTGTTTGTGTGGGGCCATCTATTTGTGTGGGGCCATCTGTTTGTGTGGGTCCATCTATTTGTGTGGAGCCATCTGTTTGTGTGGGTCCATCTATTTGTGTGGGGCCATCTGTTTGTGTGGGTCCATCTATTTTTGTGGAGCCATCTGTTTGTGTGGGGCCATCTATTTGTGTGGGGCCATCTGTTTGTGTGGGTCCATCTATTTGTGTGGAGCCATCTGTTTGTGTGGGGCCATCTATTTGTGTGGGTCCATCTATTTGTGTGGGTCCATCTATTTGTGTGGAGCCATCTGTTTGTGTGGGTCCATCTATTTTTGTGGGGCCATCTATTGAAACACCAAAGTGATGGCTTAAGTAAATCTCAAAGACGTATGGTAAACTTCAGCTGGCCTCATTTACGTCTCTCTCTCACTCATTCTCCCCCCCTCTCTCTCTCGCTTCAAATAATTATACATATACTAATCTACTACAACACTAAGTTCAGAGTTCACAATGATAATCTTTATTTTATTAGGTAAATAGTTCAAAAAATTGTAATGTTCGTCTTATTCATTATGTATATTATCATTAATAATGTTTAACAAGAAAGACATTATTATACTACTGAAACTGTAATCAGTGGCGTAGCTGTGGTCAGTGCCGTCCAGGAAAGCCCAAGATTTTGCCGACAAAAAGCAATGTGGTTTGGCCAAAAAATTTCGCACCACGGTATGTATGATAAATAAATTGCCACGGGGGGGGGGGGGGGGGGGGTGGGGGGGGGGGGGGGGTGGGGGGGGCCCCCCCCCCCCCCCCCCCCTAAAAGACAAATATTTTTGGGAGTTTAAATTTGTGAATGAGGAAAATCCAAGCTACTGTTGTGATTAAAATCGGGGTTGGGGGGGGGGGCTGGGGTTAACTTGGATTCTTACGGCAATATCCAAGGAATTTGAGATGAGCGTTTTGAGCAGCACTGCTCTACGCGTCTGAACAAATCTATGTTTCAGGGTGACGTTGTAGAGCATTGAAATTGAGACTGTTGTAACCCTTGGGGCTCTACGTGTTGTATAAATCGTCTGGGGCGTCGAAATGTTTTAGTACGCATGCTCTCCCTTGAACTAAACACAACTGCCTCCCTACCACACACACAGTGGCGTAGGTTAAGCAAGGAGACAAGGAGAAACAGAACGGGCGCACATTTTTGACGCATCCCTACCACAAAAACAACAACAAAAAAAAAAACAAAAAAAAAAAAAAAAAAAAAAAAAAAAAAAAACTGCTGTTGGCCGAATATGCCGCCCCTGAATATTAATAAAAAAAGTGCCACCCTAGGCGTACCGCCCCTTCCTGCGCCACTTGATAGAATAGAGTTTCACTCCGTTTTATACAACTTAATCTAGATGACCATTTTTTTTACACACAAACGCCTGCCGTATTTCTAAAAAAAAAATATATATGTAAATATTTTAAACATTGTGAATAAAAATTATTACATTTTTTTGTCCCCCAATCTATAACCACAGAACCTCTGGTGCTGTTCTCTCTCTCTCTCTCTCTCTCTCTCCCTCTCTCTCTCCTCCCCCTTTCTTCATAACCCTCGTGATTCAGAATTTCAATGTTTAACTATTTATTGTTAGAAATACAAATCGAAGAGAGTGGATGTGCCACTTAATAACAAAAACTGCAAACAAACTCTACCACACCGACCGGATCGACCACACCAACCACACCGACCACACAGGCAAATTGTTCCTATCAGAACACAGAAACCAGCTGGTAATAAAAACCCATTGGATGGGTCAGAAATAGTTTCAAGAATTATTCCGTCGTTTGGTGCTGTTTGGTGCGATGTTTTTGTTGACAGTTTGGTGCGACGTTTTTGTTGACAGTTTGGTGCGATGTTTTTGTTGACAGTTTGGTGCGATGTTTTTGTTGACAGTTTGGTGCGAAGTTTTTGTTGACAGTTTGGTGCGACGTTTTTGTTGACAGTTTGGTGCGATGTTTTTGTTGACAGTTTGGTGCGACGTTTTTGTTGACAGTTTGGTGCGACGTTTTTGTTGACAGTTTCGTGCGATGTTTTTGTTGACAGTTTGGTGTGACGTTTTTGTTGACAGTTTGGTGCGACGTTTTTGTTGACAGTTTGGTGCGATGTTTTTGTTGACAGTTTGTTGCGGTGTTTTTGTTGACAGTTTGGTTGCGATGTTTTTGTTGACAGTTTGGTGCTGTTTGGTGCGATGTTTTTGTTGACAGTTTGGTGCGATGTTTTTGTTGACAGTTTGGTGCGATGTTTCTGTTGACAGTTTGGTGCGGTGTTTTTGTTGTGTCAAACCACGCTACAAAGACAACTGTCAAACCACGCTACAAAAACATGACAGTTTGGTGCGATGTTTTTGTTGACAGTTTGGTGCTGTTTGGTGCGATGTTTTTGTTGACAGTTTGGTGCGATGTTTTTGTTGACAGTTTGGTGCGATGTTTCTGTTGACAGTTTGGTGCGATGTTTCTGTTGACAGTTTGGTGCGATGTTTCTGTTGACAGTTTGGTGCGATGTTTCTGTTGACAGTTTGGTGCGATGTTTCTGTTGACAGTTTGGTGCGATGTTTTTAATGACAGTTTGATGCGATGTTTCTGTTGACAGTTTGGTACGATGTTTCTGTTGACAGTTTGGTGCGATGTTTTTGTTGACAGTTTGGTGCGATGTTTCTGTTGACAGTTTGGTGCGGTGTATTTGTTGACAGTTTGGGGCCATGTTTGTGTTGACAGTTTGGTTGCGATGTTTTTGTTGACAGTTTGGTTGCGATGTTCTTGTTGACAGTTTGGTGCGGATAGACGTTAGTCCAATTTCACTTACAAATATCTGACGTCACTTTAAAAAAAAAATAATTAAATAATCGATCAAGACTTTTAAAAGTTTTTTCCCCTTATAACGGTTTAAAGGCGAGAATAAAATTAGAAAGATTCGGAAAACATAAAAATTAATTTTAAAAAATGTTTTAAAAAATCTTAGAGCTTAAGAACTGATTAGCGGTGATTAAGCGCGCTGGTATTTCCGCCTATTATTGTTGCTTTTTTTGTCCCTCCGTCCGGTAACCTTAGAGTGTTCCAGTTTGAGGATCATGGTTCCAGTTTGAGGATCATGGTTCTAGTTTGAGGATCATGGTTCCAGTTTGAGGATCATGGTTCCAGTTTGAGGATCCTGGTTCCAGTTTGAGGATCATGGTTCTAGTTTGAGGATCATGGTTCTAGTTTGAGGATCATGGTT